CTGGACTCCGGGCTGTACCGAAGTTAACGAAAGCCCATATTTTCCCCAGTGCGTTCCAAAAGATGAGCGTGAAGTTGGCTGTCCAGGCAAGTCATGCACGCAGCTATGTTCAGTGCAAAGTGTATTTCAAAAACATCTGCTCACACGTTTTGGGAAGTAAACTTAAAATCCTTTTTTTCCACACATTTTACAGCTGTTCAGTGAGAGTACTGCTTCGGCCATGGAGTTTTATAGCGAGCAGGAAGACTGCAAGAAGCTCCATGGGTCGGCTGCAACATCGCAATTCACAAGAACATTGAACAAGCTGTTCGACTGCCTGAACTCTCGGAGGCCAGACCATGTTCGATTCAACGAAGCACAACACATTGCTGTGAGATTATTACATGTGTTATAAAGTGTTTTTCGTGTACTATAGATGAAGCATAATTTTATTCCAGGTGTTGACGGACAGCATTGCATGGCTGGACAACTGGGAGAAATACATCAAGACATTACCGACCCTGAGGCAAGTCTGCTTTCTGAGTAAGCAGACATGTGGAGCCCTGAGACTGACACTGCATAGCTCAGTTGCACTCATCGAGAGCTTGCTGTTGTCTGGGTTTCGTTACGTTCTCGTTGGGAACTTCGGACAAGATCCTCTAGAGGTAAACATGATGACTTTTATGTGTATAAATGTGCTATGAATTTCTCATTGTTGCGATAAATTGATTTTTTCTTTCTAGAGGTTTTTCGGCATCGTCAGGCATGTTGCTGGTGACGGAGGGCAGCCGACTGTGCAACATTTTTTGTTCATCTATCGGATGCTCTCTGTAAACAACCTAGTTCGGCCGCCAAAACGGGCCTCGGTCAAGGGAGATGGACCCCAGCTGTTGCTCAAGCTCCAGGGCCTCTTTGACAAGGGAAAACCTGCCTCCAGTCAGGTAACGTGCCCCTTGCTTTTATTTATTAGCTCTAGTTTCTTTTTTTCAGGAGCAGTTTCACTACACAAATGACCAAATAACCAAATGAAACATAATGTGTTTTTGCATTTACGAATCTCAACTTATACATTGAAAGATTTGAAACTTGGAATGTATTTTGCAGATTAACATGTTGGCGGTCCTCTTTGATGACGTTCTTGAGGAGCCGGGAGAGGCAGTGAACAATGCATCCGTGCCTGACGTTACGCTCTCCACCAAAGAGTGCATTCTTGATTATCTTGCCGGTTACGTGGTAAAGAAGTTTTCAACGATAAGCTGCACTGACTGCATGGGAACACTCAAGAGCCAGACACGAGAGCCAACTGACCTAATCCAGAAGAAGTCAAGAGGATTCCTGCAAGTGCCCTCATCCCAGCTTCTCAGCCTGTTGCGCATTGTGGAAGGACATGTTGAAGAACTGACGGTGGACACAGTTGCATGTGCCGATGTGTATGCGAACATTGTTGACCAAGTTTTGCTCGACAGCCGCATTGCTTCTGCTGGTGTGGGCTGTACTATGTGCACTATGTAGGTACCACAGCAGAGGTTGTTCATTTTTTCTTGAGGTGCCGCCTGCACTTTTACACCAGGGAAAAAAACAAGCTGACACGAGCGACGCGGCGAGCAAACTGCCCAGCAAATGGTGGCAACAAGCCCCATGGGTAGCAGATGTTCTGTTTGTCATGCTATGTAAAGCCCAACTGTTGTGTTTTGTGTTTGCTAGTGACAAAAAACACTTGCACATTTGTGTTCCTAGTTGCTTGTGTGACGTTGTTTATTTCCTTTATCCACTATGCTATTGCCGTAAACTTGTATGAATAAACACTTGCACCACAGCCGCGGCGCGTTTTCTAGTCATTTGCATGCGCTTGGCAGCTGCCTGCGACGATCAGCAAGTGGCCAGTCAGGTTACTGTCATCTGTGTGGCGGAACCAAAATCCACGGCGGCGACATTTTGATTATCCAATCAGGTATTTTGAATTTGCAAAGCGGAGCATGGCTAGCTTTGCCTGTATTTCTTTTTTAATTTTTTTTAGTGTCCCCGCCGCGGTGGCTCAGGGGCTAGGGCGCTGTGCTGATGATGATGAACCCAAGGACGCGGGTTCCCAGCCGCTTTTCTGATGGAGGCGAAAAGAGAAAATGCCTGTGTTTTAGAGATTCCCGCGCATGTTAAAGATACCTGGGTGGTTAAAATTATTCCGGAGAGCTACACTACGGCGCGTGCCCGATTGCCTGCATAGCGTCAGCGCGTTAAACCTCATAACCAAGTAATCAATTAACTTGTCGTTTTGGTGGGACGAGTGTGTCAGACACTGACCATACGAGTTTTTCTGTTGACACCCTATACCTATGTTGACAGCCGGGAAAGTCGCTCAAGTGTGTAGCATTTACTCCTACGCGCGCTCATTATGCTGCTTCCATTTCGTGAGCGTCTTTCTTCATCATGTTGATGCTCACTTTCCAAACCTAGGTTATTTTTGTACATTATTAGCGCGCTATAAAATCGCGCAGACACAGCGCTAACCCAACGTGCTGTACGTTTGCACACCTATTTGCTAAGCGCAGCATGTCGCCCAGGGCTGTATATACCGATTTAAATCTGGTGCTAGTTAACTCAAATGCAGGAAACTGCAAAGACTATTCAAAAATCGAAAACGCCAGATGTCCTCCTTCTCAAAGCGAGAACGTAGCGGCCGTGACTACCGCAACGAACGAACGCTGCAACATATACGACTCAGTAACACACGTGGCCTTGCCTCTATTTCACAACTAAGCTAAGCGTCAACTGAATCAAAAACACGCACACTTCGCTCGCGTCGCTCGCGTTTTTACAGGTCACGTTTTTACAGGTGGAAATGAAGAGCAGATGAAATTAGGCGCATTGCCGACGGAGAAACAGCCGGCCCGCAAGCGTCGCCGGCCGCCGGCGAAGCCTTCACGCTAACAGGGGCGATCCTAGCGGCAGCTTTTGTCCCTGAATGAAACTTCGGCCGGAGTTTCGTGACCAGAAAAGCATTGAAGGACTCTGGCGTAAGCTACCGCCTTACGTTATTTTTAAACGTAAGACGCTCCCAAAGGCAAAATTCCCTCAAGGCATCTACGTCAGAGTCCAGGAAAAAGGCTGGATGAGCGTGGAACTCATGGTGGATTGGGTGAAAACAGTCTGGGGTCGGCGGCCGGGTGGTCTGTTGTTGCCGTCGATGCTTGTCCTGGACAGTTTTCGTGGGCACCTAGTAGACCCCGTACGAGATGAGCTAAAGGAGCTGCGCACAGATCTGGCAGTGATTCCGGGCGGCCTCACATCGATACTGCAGCCTTTGGACGTGTCCTTGAATAAACCTTTCAAGGACAATGTTCGAAGGCTGTACACCACCTGGATGGCTGGAGGACAAGATCAGCTGACTACAAGTGGTAAGATTAAGAGGCCACCTGTGGAAATGCTGTGCGCTTGGATCGTGGAAGCGTGGCAGGCGATCTCCGACGAAGTCGTCAGGAAAAGCTTCAAGAAGACGGGTATCTCGAACGCACTGGATGCGAGTGAGGATGATATGTTGTGGGGTGCGGATGATTCGGACACCGAAAACGAATCCCCGCTCGGCGAGGATGAATGTGTGATCTCCGACTTGGACTCCGAATAGGGAAAAGGAGGAACAGCTACGACTTTTGTGTAAATAAATTTTACGTGTGTGTGCGCAGTTGACGGCTTTCGCTTGTTCATTAAAAGGTACGTAGGTATGTTTGTTTTATGCTGAATTAATTGGTAAACGATAAAGTCGCCTTTTACTTGACAAGTGTGCAGATTTAAAGTGCGAGAACCGAGTTGAAAAAATTTTCGAAAATTTTACCCCGCGTAATTGGCGCACCCCTAACTTCGAGCCGGATTTTCTGAAAAAAAAAGTGCGCCTATTATGCGAGTAAATACGGTACATGGCCTCTAGTCGTATGACCAACTAATGGCATGGAGGCTGCATTTTCAGCTGTTCTTGGATAAAATTTGACTGAGGATGGGTGAACAATATAACATTCGAAGCGCATGGCAATTTTGTGGAATAACTTCAAAGTGAGTATTTCAAATAATATATCACAAACTATAAAGCAAAATGAGCATTTTTGCCATGATCCAACAAACTTGGACAATATTTTTAAGAATCGGTGCTAAGTACAGTCGACTCTCAGTAAATAGAACCTGAAGGGTTTGGAAAAATATGTTCCATTTATTATTTATTTATTTATTTAGGAGTTCTGTTTACTGAAATATGAACAAGGGTGCAGAATAAAAGCCCAAAACCAAACATAGCAGAGGCATTTCCTCCGTTTAAGCAGTCATTCTGTTTAACAGATTTCTGTTTACTGAGAGTCTACTGTATGTGCAAATGCGACTGTTATGGTTACAATTAGAAACCAAATTTTAATGATGGTGGAATCTGAATAGTAATAGAGCACAAGTCAAAAAGCTTTGAAATATGCTACATTTTAAAATTTATAATACTTAGCACATATAAGCCCATGTAAAACAATTTCAAACTTACATTTAACTTTCAATTATGACTTTGCGGCAGTGCATATTTCTTCTGGATAGGTGGTTTCACGAAATAGCAGCCCAACGCTGCATTGAAACCTCTTGTTTGAACGATATACATGTGGTCAAATGCACGGCTATTCGTTCAATAAGTTTGAATTTGCATCAAGGGAAATAGAATAGTGCAATATTTGTTCAAACATTCAAAGTGCTCGAATATTCAACCATTCAAACATTTACCTCCTACTATGCCACCACACATCGCTGCTGTCATGCAAGAATCTCTATGGAAGCGCGGTGTACAGTGTCACTGGAAAACAGCTACAAAGCACACACCTAGAAACGATCGTGAGAGCGCGACTAAACAGAACCCACTAGAAGGAACAGACGAGAATAGGCGTACCTCTTCTCGACGAGTGTGCCTGTCCTCGTCAGTTTCTACTTGCGTGTCGTGTTTAGTTGCGCTCTCACAATGGTTTCTATGTCAAAACACTAACAGTCAAATCTTTTAAAGCACCCACCGATTGGTCAGTCGGGTGCACGGGCACAGGCCGGCCATACTCTTCGAGGGCAACTACATGGTCTGGAACGTGGGCCACAGTGATTTGCAGGTCGACCGAGGCCAGAAAGTTCTCCAAGCTGCTCAGCACCAGCTTTGCAAAGCGCAGCCGCGGCATGCGCGTGGACAATGGCACCGGCACCAGCTTGCTGACGTCCAACACCCGTATCTTGGCCGAGAGCTTCGCCTTGTATCTAGACGTGCAGTAATTCCAGTGCTCAACGCTGGTTCAGTCAAAGATACATGCCTATTTAACTACCTAAGGAGGTTTCTGTGCCACTAAGTTACCAGTTTTTTGTTATTTTATGAAATGTTTATTAGTCTCCTAACACGCATAGTTCTTATTGACTGCAGGAATCGACTGTGTTATAGGCAGGTAGAGTAAAACGTTCCTTAATATACATCTGCTTAAAACGTACATTGGTTACATGATAGTAATTCCATATTTCTAACCTAGTTTACCTAAAGCCTAATGTACTTTTGTTAAGGGGACACATGGTCTTGCAGAAAAAAAATCGTGTGGAAATCAATTTTCTGATGATACTATCTTTATAACCATACAGATATTGCCACAACTGATGACTAAGTTTCTTACATTCTGGATTGGTATTTCAGCCCCAAAAGCAACTTATATCACCTAGACAAACTATATGTTGAGAGAAAGTCTATCAAAAATACTCTTTTAAGACATGCTGCTGAATGATGCATGCTGCAGCAGAAGGCATGCATGTTATTATCCCTGGTGGCTACTAATCATCTAATAAAAATATTTCAATTATATCTTTACATGTGGTTCAAAGTGAGATATAATTTTTTTCTTGAATTTCCTCTAAACAGGCTTTCACTCACCATGCTTGTTTAGTGCAGCAATTCATCAATATGTGGGATAGCTACAGCTATACTGTTTTTCCCGTTATGAAGTTAAATACATAATGCCTGAAGAGCTGCCATCAGATTTCTTTTAGTGTTCCTATTATTTTTAATGCATCTTTGTTTTTGATTGTTAGTATCTGTACAGTAAATGCTGAACTTCAATTAGCTGCTAAATAGTTAATTGATGTTACATTTGAAAACTGCTAATGGCATTTGCTTGAGATACATGTCCTTAACCTTGAACAGTAGAACATTCGTGCCGCTTCAGCACTGTTTTCGAAATACTTACCCAAACAAACAATGCTGTAGGCTTAGTGAGAGCGCTCCTGAAATCTTGAAGGTCGTGGATTACATGTTTGTAAGTTCTCTTCTATACTCCATAGATGGCACCACTTGACATGGTGACAGCTACGGGACGCACCATTTAGTAATACACCACGCTTTTGCATTACCGGAATACCGGGTAGATTAAACACCTATATCCCCACGGGGAATCCGCGCGCATGATACAGCAACAGCGTGGGCAGCATAGACGCCACGCTGCACGCAACTAACCAGGAGATGATAAGAGTCCGCACAGCTGCTCTATGCTTCTATAAAACTGCCAGTTGTTGATTAGTCCCAGATCGCAGTAGATAAGCGCACAAATGTATCACGAGAAACCGAAAGTGTCCATTCTGTCACCATCTCAGTCACTGCATATCCGAGGCATTGTAATAGTTCTGAAATGCTCCTTAGTGTCGCCTCTGCACGCTATAAAACGGCTGTTTATGAGTGCTAGCCTCAGTATCTTTTCCGCACTTTGGCAAACAGGAAGAAAAGACTTTCTAGTGGATACTTTAGGCAAGATCTGCCATGGTACCGTACCTGTTTATTGGTGGCAATGGCACAGGCCTAGAGATTCGCATTTGTACTTATAATCCTGCATTGCCGTTTAGTGCATAATCATGCCGCCTTCCCGGCAGGTACAAATCATCGAGCTTTCACTGCATTACTAGATAATTCATAGTTACCGACGTTGGTGCCACCACTTTTGCAGGAAAACAACAGTCATAACAGCAATAAGACGAGCACTAGCAAGCCCTACGAAGAAACAAAATTACGTCATCAAACTACACTGAATGTGGATGCGACTGCGTGGTTTGTGTAGTCAACGCTCAGTGTTGCTCGGTCGACGATGACTAATCGGCTAGATCGGGTGTGTTACATTTCCAATCAATAATTATCGCGTAAATTGATGTTAGTGCGCTGCAGCTCAGAGTGGTGCAGAATGGCGCAATTGGCAAAGCACTTCCACCCCTGAGCTATGCAAGTCGGTTCAGAGCAGATTTTTAGGGTCACACATCACTGTTAATTATTTTTTTTTTTTGTTTCTGATAAACATAAAAAATTCCGAAGATTTTGCTACCACACACTTGATACGGATGTAGCGATCAGGCTTACCACAGTGAGCTTCATCAGGCTCAGTTCTGATGAAGGCCAGAATCTAGGCCGAAACGGTCGAAATAAACTACGTTGTGACCGCTCACGGAGGATCTTCTTGACTACATATATATAATAGCTAATCTTCAAATGTTGAAAATAAATAAAACTACTGCATCACACATAAACAAGGAAACTAAGGACTACAGACGAGAAAATACTAGGTTATCTTCATTTTAAACACCATAAGCCACTATCATAATGAATTTAAGAAACTTATGTTTCGGCCATGAAAGCACCACAAATGACATGAGAGCTGCGAGAAAAATAAAGATAAGAAATGCATTTGCTGCCCTGATGCTAGGTGATGGCGAGGAAAGTTTTTTCTTTGTTCTTGTGATCGCTGTTATATGGACGCTGGGCAGATTGGCAACTCTATGGCAGTGCCAAAATGTTCGTAACGGTCACCTAGCACATGGTCAAGAGCAGAGGTCCACAAAAGAAGCTTACAGAAAGCCGACTGCCCGGAATGCCAGTGAGTGTGCTGTAGTGCAGGTCACGTTGGGTGGAAATGTGCGCTTGGCAATATCACATACAGACCTGCAAACAATCACATGGAATCACATCACATGGAAAAGTGGACAACCACATGAAATCATCCAGCTCATGAATGTAGTAATGAACATGGCCCAGCTAATAAAGTAGTAGTGTAGTCAGTAGTAGTAGTAGTAGTAGTATAGTAGTAGTAGTATAGTAGTGTAGTAGTAATAATAATAATAATAACAATAATAATAATAATAATAATAATAATAAAGCATTAATAAATAATCAACTATATAGATATAATAATATATAATAATAATAATAATAATAATAATATAATAATAATAGATAATATAAATAATATAACACCAATACTACTACTATTACTACTACTACTACTGCAACTAGAGTTAAACCTGCTTATAATGAACCTCCATATAACGAATTCCTCAATATAATGAAGCTTTTCTATTCCCTGCCATTGCTCCATAAAAGCACATGTATTTGTGACCTCTCTGTTACAAAGTATCAGCAAAAGACAGCCTTGATATAACAAATTTTCCCCATGGACAATCTAAGAATTTCACTTCGCATTTTGGCATTTTGGTACAAGCATGCATCTTCCACCCTGCCCTGCTGCCAATGAAGCGTGAAGCGGCGGCAGCACACATGATGCACCAGGCGAGAGTGAGCGCTGGTTATTGAGCGTGGGTAAGCACGAGGCGGGCAGGTGGGCCTGCACCCCACGAGCCGGCATTGTTGCCATTGTCGCCACAGCAGGTGCATGTGCGGGTGTGCCCCCCACCTCCGAAACAAAACTACTTTTGCGTGTTGGCAGTGCCACGCTTTTAGTTAGCGTTGCATATGTGGGGCCGTGCTGCATACGGAGGGCGCTTAACCAAATAGCTTTCCACAGTATCCATGTCTGTAGCCGTGTCGTGCGCTCTTCGCTTTCAACGGCCGTGCACACGTGCATAGTTTCAATACGCGCACATGGCGTGGCCCCCTGACAACGTTCGGCTTAGCTTTTTTCATTGCGATAGCAATTATATGCACAGTCTTAATTGGTTTTTTGCCGCTGCCGCCGCCGTTATTCACCGTATATGTATGTGACGTAAGAAGGCAGAGATGATTAGGAGAATGGATGAGGAAGAAGTGAGAATAGAATAAAGATGGCGTATGAGCCTTGGCCACGTCACCCAGTCATCATAGCAGTCACACGAGCCGACAGGATGAATACCGGGCCGCCGCTCATCAGCCTCACATCATTCACGAAACCACCGGCAATATGCCTCAACTGAATATCGACCACAGAAGAGGTGATCTCAGCCACATGCAATTACCGGCATCATGACAGAACCATCGACTGACCTTCCCATCCCCAAGTACACCGGAGCAGTGGACGATGGACCTGTACAGGACTGGTTCGACCTGTTCGAGCTCAACGCTACCGCTGCATCATGTTCGGAACGGAAGATGATCATCAACTTTACCGACTACATCTCCGGTGAGGCTTTCAGATTCTACCTCACCCACATATTTCAAAATCGACGAGCCATGGGAAAAGATCAAAAAAGAAATGATCGTTTGGTTTAAAAAATACAAAGACGACTACGACGAAGATTCGCTTATCACCGATCATCCACAGAAAACCGCGCTCGGTCGCCGCAGTCAAAAGCACTGCTCACGCATTGGGACACCAAAAATGAATCGGCCTTTGAAACAAGAGCAATTTAAACCACCCTCTCAATGAAAGGCAGCCAGATCTGTTTGCAGGAAGAGTGTACCCTCCACCGCACCGCGTTTTGCAACTGCCTCGATCGAAAACCAACTTTTACGTCATCACTGCACCGTAGCACTCACATTAGGGAGCCACTTTGTGCACAGTAGTTTCCGTCTCACGCACTTCGACCACCTCCTACTTTTCCGTCGCTTGGCTCTTCAGTTGCTCACAGCGCTCACCTCGCATCTCACATGCTTACTACGGTTGATATAGAGCTAAGGAACCCTGAAGATACTCAGCCAGGCTCTGGCCCTTCTGTGCAGATGCATGCATCAGAACAGCTTAACTCGTTAGTTACACAGAAAGACAAACATTTCCGACTGAAATCTGAGCAAACTACGCCTGCTGCGGTGTCACCATCCAGTGCACGGACACCTTGGAGTCTTAACAACACAGGAGGCTCAACACAGGAGGCTCGGAAGCATCAAATCGCGCACGTTGCTGAGAGCCAGAAGCGTCCATTAGGAACGGCGTCACAAGAGCCTCTGAAGAGTCTCCAGTAAATTCGAGCGCACAACCTTCATTACCCGAAATTCAGCATAACAGTCCACTGACTACCATCCTGCCTATTGGACACCACATCAGGTTGCCCAGAAGATCAGTGCCATGGTCGAAAACGGCTGCCACCTCAGCTCTTTCTACATGGATACCATCAATGCCAGCAGAGGCAAGCCCAAGAATAACAGAGTCTCCATGGGCTACACCAGCAAGGACGACTACGAACGGAAAAATCTTTGGAAGAACACTCGAGGATTAAACAAAGGCGTCTACAAGCGGGTCAAGTGAAAGCGACGACAAATTAAATAGGTCTTGCTTAAGACAAACAAGTCTTATAATTCAAGACATTTTCCGCAAAAAGGAACATCGCACAAGTTTTCTCTAGAAGAGATCAAGATTCAGTCTACAATCAAAGCTGTTCAAACAACAGGACACAAAGCGACGAAGAAGGCGCAAAATCCCACCCTGTATTATGCAAAGACACAGAAATCACCGCATCAGTCTTGGTCAACAAAGACACAGACGGGTGGCACTGCATGTGTACCAATCAAGGCAAAGAGCATGATGCCTACACAAATCATGCTGCTGGTTCTCCAAAGCCTTCACACCACGTTCATTCTTTGCAAGTATACAATCAGTTTCATCATCTGCAGTTTCCACGTTCAAGGTGTACTTGTGTTTTCCAGTACGCAACAGTCAGCCTCGCCCATCAGAACTCCAGCACTTACTGGACTGCTGCACTTTCCTGTGAAGCTAAAGTGTGTTTACGGAAACTTCCTGGGACATGGAAGGATCTTCCCTTTTTTGACAGTGTTTACTTTTAAGCCGTGCATGTTCAGTTTTTAATTTCTGTTCGTCTGACGCATCTTCTTTCGGGGGGAGGGGGAATCCTGTGACGTAAGAAGGCAGAGATGGTTAGGAGAAGTAGATGAGGAAGAAGTGAGAATGGAATAAAGATGGCGTATGAGCCTGGCCACATCACCCAGTCATCGTAGCGTCACATGTATACGTATTTTATATATATGAAAACTTAAGAAAGAAGGAAAAAAAATCTGCCCGCGCTCTGCACCCAGCTTGTCACGCTGCACCGACGTGCCCTTATCTCCCACGCATACTTTGCCCCACAAATGGGAGGTGCTTGTGCGTAAGCGCTTATCCTTCGGTGGGGAGAATCGCATGCCTTCAAATCTGACCGGAACGATTGCGTTTAGTTGCTGGGCACACAGAGATCACTTCACTCTCTAGACAGGCGACGTTTGCGAAAATAGTGAGCTTTTCAAACACAGCGAAGTAAAAACTAAGGAATTTGTTAGGTCACACTCACATCTCTACCTAGTGATTACGTTTCGTGCCTCAGTTTTGTTTAAACAGTGCGTTAAATGTCGAGCGCTCTCGTCCTGTGTGTTTTTTTTTTTTTTCGTGCATAATTTGTTCATAAGCAGTGCGCTGCACGTTTCGATCTGCTTGCCATTCTCAGCGTTACATTCGAAGGTAGTTGCTATCGCATTCATAGCTTCGTCCTTGCGGCGACACTGATTTTTCTTGACTTCGGACCACTATGTGGTCACCACCAAGGAGATGTCAGATTAGGCGCTGATGGAAACTTTCTGAGACCACGGTGATGGCCGATCTTCGGAGGTCGACTCGTCACGTGCTTCCTTCTTGTGTCGCGCCGCAAGTTCGCAAGCTTGTAGCTTTCACGATTAGCCGATTAGTCCTGGCAACATGAGGACGCGTTGAATGCAATGCAATGAGCGTGATGGCAAAAAATTGCAATGTTATAAAAAGTAAGGCTGGCAGCCAACTCTTTTGAATCCGATATCGCTGAACTCCTACAAAACGCTGGCGTGAGCAAATACGGCCGCTCCAGAGAAAATTTCTCTTTTCCCACAGTCCCTTCGCATTGAAAGCACTGACATTCGCCAAAATGTGACCACCTGCCCCCCCCCCCCCCCCCGCGTTGTATAGCATTGAACCTGCATATAACGAAATTCTTTTTACAACGAATTTGTTAATTTCACTATATCCAGGTTTAAATGTACTACTACTACTACTACTACTACTAACAATAATAATAATAATATCTGTGGTCCCAAAATCATGATATATTTCTGAGGGACGCCGTAGTGGAGGCCTCCGGACACACAGACTGTCTGTTGTTCTTTAACGTGCACGGACACCGACCAGCACATGGGGCATATTGCCTCCACTAAAATGCTGTGGCCAGGATCAAACCCATGAGTATCAGGTCGGTGGTCGAGCACTGTAACCGCTACACCACCGCAGCGGACAGAGGTGAATCCTTCAGCTTTGTCTCTCAGGAGATGGAGCTTTTAATAAAAACGGAACCCATTTTTCTCATCCCCTGAGGTTCCATTTATGGTGAGACCCCTGTACGTATGCAATCAACCTTACTATATAACAAAGCAGGTTATGACAAAGTACTGAATCTAACGAGATAATAAAAATTCATATGTAAAATCCCAACCACAGATTAACAATGCGAATTGCCACGTCAAAGAAGAAAACAAACTAAACTTGACTCTAAAAACAAGAATCCTCACATTTTTCTCCGATAACATTACGTCATGTGACATACTGATGGCAGAGTTGCACACAATGTAGTGAGAGTGGAAAACAAAGATGCATGTACTGGCAACTCAAAAGTTTGCAAAGTAGCCATCTAAGCAGTTACACAGGTTCTACGTGCTATGTATTCACTGCATTGTTTTTTGTTTTTGTTTTTTGCACGCATAATGACAGCTGGGATGGATGGTGGCAGTGGCAACAAGCCTAAAGAGGACTCAATAATCGACTTCCTTGCTCCAAAGGATCTTTAATCTTGAAAGGCTTCGAGTGCGCTGAGCATTCAATTGACACATCTTGCAGTGAGCATGATGCGTGGTAAGGATAGAGAATGTTCTTAATGAGATAATGTTTAAAACAAATTAAATTTAGCTTCCCGGGAACTTCCACACAACAATAAGTAACAGTGCACAAATGATACTATGCATTAAAACCTTGAATTCAGAATACAGTTGTTGACTCAGAATGTCATCATCATCATCAGCCTGACTACTTCCACTGCAGGACAAAGGCCTCTTCCATGTTCCGCCAGTTAACTCGGTCCTGTGCTTGCTGCTGCCAATTTATACCCGCAAACTTCATAATCTCATCTGCCCACCTAACTTTCTGTCTCCCCTAACCCAGTTCCCTTCTATGGTAATCCAGTTAGTTACCCTTAATGACCAGCGGTTATCCTGTCTACGCGCTACATGCCCGGCCCATGTCCATTTCCTTCTTCTTGATTTCAAGCTATGATATCCTTAACCCCCGTTTGTCCCTAATCCACTCTGCTCTCTTCTTGTCTCTTAAAGTTACACGTACCATTTTTCTTTCCATTGCCCGCTGCGTCGCGCTCAATTTAAGCTGAACCCTCTTTGTAAGTCTCCAGGTTTCTGCTCCGTAAAGATACAGCTGTTATATACCTTCCTCGTGAGAGATAGTGGCAATCTACCTGCCATAATTTGAGAGTGCTTGCCGAGTGTGCTCCACGCCATTCTTATTCTTCTAGTTACTTCAATCTCGTGGTTCGGCTCTGCGGTTATTACCTGCCCTAAGTAGACATAGTCTTTTACAACTTGAAGTGCACTATTACCTATCTCGAAGCACTGCTCTTTTCCGAGGTTGTTGTACATCCCTTTCATTTTCTGCAGATTAATTTTAAGACCCACCTTTTAACTCTCCTTGTCTAACTCCGTAATCATGAGTTGCAATTCGTCCCCTGAGTTACTCAGCAATGCAATGGCAACGGCGAAGCGCAGGTTACTAAGGTACTCTCCATTAACTCTTATCCCTAACTGTTGCCATTCTAGACTTCTGAAAACCTCCTGTAAGCACGCGGTAAATAGCATAGGGGAGATTGTGTCCTCCTGCCTTACACCCTTCTTGATTGGTATTCTGTTGCTCTCTTTATGAAGCACTGAGAATGTAAAAAGATGTAAAAATGATTGCGCAGTAAAAACCAACTATGCTTTAAATTAAACAGATCGATCTTGTTGAATTTAGAGCCAGCAATGAACTATGACTATAATACGATGCCACGTGAAAAAAATATTTTCATGGCCGTATAAACATATGTAGGTCCAATACATCCTGCTGATTGACAAAAATAACGATGGCCATCTTGCTGCTGTGACTGCCTATAACTTCTTTCATCTTTGCAGAGGTTTGATGGACATGAAATTGGAAAACAGACGTGTATAAAGAAATGCTCACTCATTCCAGCTCCATTTGTGCATTATATTTCTGCACAACCATATCCCAAAAATTAATTGGCGCACCACTGTGCCTTAACCCGAAACGTACTTTGCACCCTCCCCTTATTGCATACGAATTATCAGTCAATCAATCCATAATTTCAAGTCTAACAGTGCAGCCTACCTGTTGTAGACAATGCAGAGAAATTTGGCTGCAGGCCTCAATCTGGCATATTCCACAAGTGTAGACGTTTTACCAGTCCCTGTAAGTGTGGCGTGATTAGTGTTCATCATTTCATTGGACATTGCCACAGGCTACTAAGCTTCATCCCTAACGGCAGGTTTCACTCTCCTTCCCCACCTAGCAGGGGTGTCGTTATCGTGAGACATTGTGAACACCAGTGTTCCCTGATGATGAAGCGTATTAACGGCGTAGGCAACACGACAATGGTGCCATTACGATGCTTGCTGTCACGTCTGCTAGTACTAATCACCAGCGAACATGACTGCTAGGTGAAGTCAAGGAAACAATACCATTGCTAAAGAGAAGGCAGCATTTATTTGGGTAGCATTTAACTTTTGATAAGGAGGCTCCCTAGACACAAGTTGCTTAGCCTCATTTATGACGCGAGTGGTGTGATAATCTGGGGTTTTTGAACAGCATATGCTAACTTAATGTTTGTTGCAGTCGGCCACTATTTTCGCCATCTAACGGGAGCCCACAAGTGCTTAGTAAATGACGCATGCAAAGTGGTGCGAAGCTCTAATGCAAAAGCTTTACGTACATCATTGAATAACTACCAACAGTTCTATGTAGGCAAAACTCTCAATTTTTAAAAAGTGTTTCAGGGACCCTTTCATGCAATTTTCAAGTGCAAATTCTATGTGTAGTATTCATCAATTCAAATGATACAATAGCACTTTGACTTCGGCTGGTTGGTACATACTCGAATAGGCTTCAGCGAGATTCAGATGAAAACCAAGGTGACACAGCGCTCACAAAGCGCTCGTCTGTATTCTGTGTCTCCTTGGTCTTCGTCTAAATCGTGCTGAAGCCTATTCAAATTATACATCAATATTTTTGGGTATCGCAACTAGTATTCACTATTTCTTGAGATGACGATGTCAAGTCATCGCGAACCTGATCTCTAAGATAATGTTGGCTCTGACCTACACGTTCGAGCTGGCTGCGCCAATATGACAGCATATGACCAGAACCGAAGACAGTGGAAACGAAATTATGTGCATTATTCAACCCTGAACTGTCCTGTTTCAATCTGTGAGTAGAGCATAGGGTTGCATATCTATTGTTGAAAACTTTGCAAAAAACAAGGATCTACTGCGGCTATGTTGTTACTGAAAATTAACAAAGTTCGCACTTTACTGTTCATACTATTCAATAAAACAGTTCACAAATTCATTTGCCTTCTTAAAAAAATTGGACTTGCATTTGTCGATTAAAAGGACATTTGCCACAAAGATGAAGTGTGAACATGTTTGTATCGTTGTTGGGAAGCAGCTACAAAACGTTGTACACTCCACGTGCACAGAACGGCCAATGCTGTATAGTATTACAACAGACTGGGAAATAGAAAAGGGGTGCCAGCATGTATAACACATTTATTATTTGTACAACCCTTGACCGGCTAGGTACGGACAGAAATTAACATAGTGTCACAATCAAATTGAGGTTACTCAAAGTTATTTGAGTCGATTGTCGCACTGAGAAACTGTTTCTAGACTATGGGAGGCTTTGAGGCTTTTGTCCATCTTTTTTTAGACAAACACTAGCAAAAGGTCAGCAGGGCCTTCACTGACGTACATCAAAATATAATGGAACAGTCCTTCTTGTTCAATTTGAAGTTGCTGAAAAAAAAAAGATTGCTTGGTGCTGGTTCTGTACAGATAATGGTCGTGCTTTGGCTTTCACTTCAGTTTCATTTTGACGAGTGCTATAGCACTCATTGAAGGCAAGGACACAGGGATAAGTGAGGATGAGCGCTAATAAAAGTAGCAACTTAGGCTGGTTGGTATGTCATGACAAGTGCTACAGTATGAACTGAAGATGAGGACACAGAGACAAACAATAATGCACACTGTCTGTGTGTCCATCCTCTTCAGTATGCGCTATTGCACTCGTCACGACATACCAACTAGCCCACGCTGCTACCCTTCATTTTGACACTGCGTCCAAGTCATTCAAGAGGATTTCTAGATTCAACGTGGAACACTCACCAGCAAAGGCCAGGATGCGCACAACGTCAGTGGGTGCCAACTCATGATTGATTATGCGCATCTGCTCGTGAGTGAAGCGCATGCGTTGATCCTGTTCCCTGCAAGCAAGGCAGCAACCTTGGCAACTAGCAAATGACACAAATAATGCCTATCAAACCGCACAAAGCATTGACTCTGGGTCAATGCATTGTGTGACACATTGCAGGGATTTTACATGCAAAACTACAACTATACAATATGATTATGAGGCCTGCACTATCCGAAGATTCTGGATTAACTTTGGTTATCAACGGAAACTGTGGCAGGTCCACTGCATGCCACCCAGTGACCCTTTGCTTTAACAAAGATTTAATTAAAACAGGGCAAGGCCCGCTTGTCACTTTTCTATGTATTGCCGACAGTTCTCCAATAACAGCGATGAGTTTCCCGACAATAGACAAAATGGGAAAGTGCATCGGTGGAAACAGGAGAAGTTGGTGCCATGGAAGTACAAGAAAGCTGTGTATCTGGTGCCACAGCAAGAATATTCCGAGGCAGAAACACTCCCCTGCAGTTCAAGCAGGCGAAATACAAACTTTTGTGAAATTGGTGCCCAATGCATTTTAATAGGCGCCAGGACGTGCAGACAGGCACAATTGTGGCAAAATTTCACAAATGGCACAGTTGGACCACCACAGTGAACCAAGGCCTAAGTGCTTTACCCCCGTATTCAGAAACGCTCCTTGACTTGAACTTGACATGCCACCGCCAATGCAGCATAAATGCTTATCAAAAGCACTGTCTTTACGCAGTGCCAAGGTAATACAAAAGCGTTCCGAACGCACTGCATTGAAGGCGGTGGCAAATCAAGTTCAATGACGTAAAGCAAGAACAACAGCAGCTGCCTCTTTGCCCAGAGAGGCTATTCAGTTCAAAACAAATACTATAAGCACATACTTAAAGATCCACAGACTCTGCTGGCCTGATCGGCTCTCAATGTTGAGCGTGGCCATCCCTGGCCTCTCTGTAACGTGCAGCACATAGTAGACACGGTAGTGGAGCCTGCACACAGGTTGCATGCGAACACTGGCATTTGACGTCATCTTAAACAATAAGTAAAAAAAGGAGAAAACACTAGAATTCACAACAGTGAATGTGCAAAAAAGTATTTCTGAAACTGTTCAAGGCCATCCCAAAATATCTTACGGAGGGACACTGCTCGTAAATTGTTTTCTATTTCATAACAAATTTTAATGAAACTTTGCGAGTTTGTCTATATATGTGCACTGATTGGAAATATGCAGTTATTTTTCTGGTATAAACTGTAGTTTTTAAAACACGAAATATTTCGTGTGCAGTTTTGGGGAGCAAAATTCTTTTTTTTTTTTTTTTTCAATGGAGAGAGTTACAAAGCAAATCTGCATATCACTATATCCTGGAATCAGAAACTCTGTATAGTGCAACAAAATGGATGTTCTAAATTGAATTGAACAACAGTTACGGCATGTTGAACAATACTTACGGTGTATTAAACACCCAGAGTGAGTAAATTTTAAGCTAGGACTTCAGTTGCATTCATACCTGTCAATATGGTTTGATTTCGTTTACACTTTTTTAGCTAGATTCAAATTTGAACCCTCACCAGCATGCGCGTAAGGGGAGGGTACAGCACTGTAATAAAAATAGCCATAGCTTTTGTTCAAATAGGTTGAAATATCAATTTTTGTTTTGGCCATCTTGGTCAGTTGATGAAGCTGTTGTGCAAGCAGCAAGCTTACATGTTTTCGTGCACCCTATATATGTATTTCGAATGTACGCCCCCTTTTGGAGTACATGTGTAGTATTTGGGGAAGTGAACATCGGCGTTCTGGAGCGTGTGCAGCTGAGAGCGGCCTGTTTCGTCACAGGTGACAATGTCTTGTGCAAAAGATCTTTTGAAGTAAGGAATACCTTAGAATGACCCCTTCTTGAAGACAGATACAAATTGTCAAGTTTATCTCTGTTCCAGAAGATATATCATGGTTTTGATGGGTATTCACATAGAGAACTACATATAGAATGTAGCCTACATATATATCTGCACGTACTGACCACCCACTAAAAGTGCGCGAGTTAGCTGTCAGAATTGAGTTTTTTAAATATTCATTTTTCCCACGATAAATAGAGCAATGAAACAAACTACAGTTAAACCTGGATCTACATGGAGGTAAGCACGGTTGTTCGAACAAGCGTTCTTCTTGTACAGCACGCTGTCTCGCAGGCAGAATGACAGTCAATGAGCGGGATAAATGACGTGGTATGATTGCGCTCTGGCCTTTAAAATAATCGTTGATTGAACGAATCTCTGCGTCATCTCGCTGCTGTTTGCTTAAGTCTGATGCGCTAATGGCGCCCAGGAAGCCTTCGTCTTCCTCTGCTTCCTGACTGACAACATGACAGGGTGCGCGTGACAGTGTGTCAGCGTCTTCATGCTTGCGGCCGGACTTATGGACGATGGTGACGTCAAATTTCTGCAGCTACAAGCTCCACCGTGCTAAACGTCCTGAAGGGTCACGCAGGCTTGCCAACCAACAGAGGGCGCGGTGGTCCGTCACTATCTTGAAGGGACGACCATAAAGATAGGTGCGAAACTTGGTGATTGCCCACATGACTGCAAGGCACTCTTTCTCTGTAGTGGAACAATTCGCCGTGGCACAGGATAGAGAGCAGCTGGTGTAGGCTATCACACTTTCGATGTCCTCTTGTTGCTGAACGAGCACTTCACCGAGCCCAATGTTACTAGCGTCGGTATGGACCTCCGTGTCAGCATCATTGTCGAAATGAGCGAGAACGGGCGCTGATTGCATGCGCTGTCGCAGCTCATCAAAAGCTGCTTGTTGTTCGTTTTCCCAGACAAATGGTGTGTCGTCCTTTGTGAGACGAGTCAGAGGTTCTGCTATCTGTAAAAAGCCATGAATGAACTGGCGATAGTAGGCGCACAAACCAAGGAAACACCGGACGGCTTTCTTATTGACAGGAGCTGGTACTTCGGCAACAGTGGCAAGCTTGTCCGGATTGGGCCGGACTCCTTCAGCGCTAACTACATGTCCAAGATATTTTAGTTTCTTCATAGCCGAAGTGGCACTTCTGTGGCTTTAGTGTGAGGTCCGCCGATCGGATAGCCTCCAGCACGCTGTGCAGGCGGTGAAAGTGCTGCTCAAACGTGGCAGAGAAGACCACCACATCATCAAGGTAGACAAGACAAGTCTGCCACATGAGCCCTGTGAGGACACTGTCCATCGTTCGCTGGAAAGTTTCCTGCGCTGAACACAAGCCAAAAAGGAGCACTCGAAATTGGTATAGGCAGTCTGGAGTCACGAAGGCTATTTTCTCGCGATCTCGCTGATCTACCTCGATTTGCCAGTAGCCACTTTTAGATCGAGAGTAGTGAAATAATGGGCACGACGAAGTCTATCCAGCGAATCGTCGATACGCAGCAGCGGATACACATCCTTTTTGGTCACGTTATTAAGCTATCGGTAGTCAATGCAGAAGCGTAGCGACCTGTCCTTCTTTTTGACAAGTACGACTGGAGATGACCACGGGCTGTTAGATGGTTCAATAACACGATCGTCAAGCATCTCGCGGACTTGCATACGTATCGCTTCACGTTCTTTAACCGACACGCGGTAAGGGTTCTGGTGTATCAGGTGTGCGTCCTCATACGCGATAATCCTGAGTTGAGTGATGGACGTCTGGCGGATCTTTGAGCAACTTGCGAAGCAAGACCTTAACTCGAACAAGAGCGCTGGCAGTGCAGTCTTGTTATCGGTGGACAAATCAGGATTGATGTCAATATTACTCATTGACAAGTCTGCGGTATCCACTAGTTCTGACGTGAGACAGTTGGTGATGTTTACTACTTCGTGGGCAAACGCTGTCGAAGTGCCACAGAAAAGATGTCGATGCTCATTGCTAAAGTTGGTAACAAACAACTCAGATCGGCCATCACGAAGGTGTATTACGCTTCTAGCTACACAGATGCCTTGCTGCCGGAGGTGTTCTAAATTTTTCTCAGCCACCACATCACCATCGCTCAAACCACAGTATGTTACGTCGACTAGAACACTTGCTCGTGGAGGAAGCGTCACGCTCTGTTCAGAAATAGAGTACGTGGACACGCCTTCCGTCATCCTGCACGTTGATTGCTCGCTGGGCTGAGAACGTGACGCGGCGCTTTTGCAGATCAGTGATAGCTCCATTTTATTGTAGAAAGTCAACTCCAAGAACGATGTCAAGGAAGCATTCGCGTAGAACATAGCAGCTTGCTGCGAACGTATACCCTTGAATCTGTACTCTAGTTGTGCAAGTGCCCAGCGGAGTAACAACGTGGCCACCAGTTGTCCGAACCTGCGTTATGCGACGGCATGATGACTTTCTTCAGCTCCATTGTCAATTTCCCGCTCAGTATGGAATAGTCTGCGCCGGTGTCCACTAACGCATTAACTGCACAACCATCAATTGTCACTGCTATGTCAAGTGAAAGCCGGCTATCCTTTGCAGCAGCAGGTGATGTCGGACCGGTTTCTGTATGGTTATGCGTCAATAGGAGGTCTTGAGCGCTTCGATCTTCAGTGACCCCGCACCCAGAGGTCGCTTTGGGTAGTTTTCCTGGCGGGGGCTGGCAGACCGTACGGTAGAATACCGCAGGGGCGTTGATGAAAATCGCCTCGGTGATGGCGAGCACGACTGGCGCCCAGCAGACGGTGGTGCATGCTGCTGGGAGATGTAGTTTTTGATGTCGCGTGGTCTCTGGCGGTAACGGGGTGGCGGTGAGTACGCAGAGAAGCCACGAAGCCCTAGACGGCGATATGGGCACTGGCGGTACAAGTGATCAGCTTTTCCGCAGAGGAAGCACTGAGGCCAGCGATCAGGTGTGCGCCAAACATCAGACTTCCGAGGAGACGTGTGCCGATCGTCCATGTACTGGGCCAGTTGCACGGAACAATGGGCGACAGAAGTGCCAGGGACAAAGGGCAAGGGCAGTGGCGTGTACGTGCCTTCGTAGTACGGTATGTGCTGCGCTGACTGAAGTGAAACAGCAGGAACTAGAATGAACGAACAATGGCGGCGATGTAGCAGGGCGTTTCAAGGCTTCCGTGTAGGTTGTCTCACGGCGGTATTCAGCAGGAGGTGGCACAGCTGTATCAGTAGGCAAGGTGTCCCGGAGGGCCTGGTGCGATTCAATCTTGATCACAGTTGCAATATATCTAACCGTAGGATGAGGTGTTACACCAGCCGTTTGCAACTCTTCACGTACTATATTATGTATGAGTTCACGTAGACACTCATTGCTGGTTCCAATGACGGTGAAAATGTCGGCAGTGGGCATGCCACTGACTTGCCTGTCGTATTGGTTGGATCGCTACTGCAGCATTTTTTCCATTTTCACGGCCTCGGACAAGAACTCCGGGACCGTCTTCGGAGGGCTTCGCACGAGGCCGGCAAAAAACTGGTTTTTGACACCGCGCATCAAGTGACGCAACTTCTTGTCCTCCGTCATTCTTGAATCGGCCCATCGAAAAAAACGCATAATGTCTTCGACGTACGTGGTCACACTTTCGTTTGGCAACTGGACGCGAGCCAAAATAGCTCATTCAGCTTATTCTTGGCAATCAGAGCTGGCATAGGTCTGCAGAAGTCTACGAAAGAATTCGGGACACGTCGTCAGCTGCTCCTTCGAGATAGGAATAAACACGACCTAGTTTCGCTGCGTGGTCCCCTTGATTCAAGGTGGCTGCGCGCTTGAAGACCGCCAACCAGTCCTCAACGTCCTCGCGCTCCGTGCCATAAAACGTCGCCGGTGCCCGTGGGCTTTCCAAGATATAGCAATTCGACGTCGTGCTTCCCGTGCCAGTTGACGAGGTTTGCACCGAAGCGCTGGTCATATTTGTCGACGTGGTGGGAGCAGTATCGTCGACTTTCTGAGGCAATACCCTGATTCGGCCGCTGCTTGGATGCACGGGAGTATTGACTGGCACTGGACACGTATCACAGCTTCCTGGGGGGTCTGCAGCATCCGTGAGACTACCCAGCACCTCCACCAGTTTGTCACGATGAGTCACAAGTACTGGGGGATTTATTAAACCACCGAGTAGCTAGCTCTAGGAGGATGCGTCAGTCGTGGCTGGCTCTCGAGCAGAGAAGAAGCACGCAATCTTCTTTTTTCTCCAGATTGAGAGCCACTTTTGCTGTCGACCCACTACGTGCTGGTGGCAATATAGTACGACCTTTTCAGAGTCCTAGGGCGTCACCCCTTGTCCTTGTAGCAAAGTAAGACGGGACGATGCGCATCCACGTTGATTATCCACGTCTCAATGTCGTCACTGAGGACATTGTGTAACCTTTCCCAAGAATTGTAGATGCGCTGCAGGCACTGACCAGAAGCAAGTACTTTTTTGTTATGAACTTGGTGCCTGGATTTTATCAGATCGCCATGTATCCGATGACATACAGAAGACTGCCTTCATCACGCCGTGGGGTCTTTATGAATTCCTCTGAATGCCATTTGGCCTTAAAGGTGTCCCATTCACATGTCAGCAAGCTGTGGATATGATCACTGACGGTATTAAATACGACAACGCCCTTGTGTATATGGATGACTGCGTAGTCTTCAGTCGGACATCTGAAGAACACGTTTCGCACCTTCAGAACATATTTACAAAGTTCGAAATAGCAGCCTTGAAGTTCAAGCCACAGAAGTGTTTCTTTTTTTTGTACTGACATCAATTACTTTGGGCACATTGTCACAAAAGACGGTTTCGAAAGCCTACTGCCTTCCTTTTCTTAGAAAGACCACTAGAGTTATGTCCATTAGGAGCAAGTCTGATGATTTTTGACGAGATGTGAGCAAATGTAGCAAATTTCACATCAGAGTAAAGTATGACACAACTGCCACGGCTATCACATTACTCACAAGTCGTCTGAGATGCACTACATGTTGGTAAGAGCATTTGACACACGATAATATGCTTACCCATGACGGAGGCCGTATGTTCGTTGGAAATGCAGCAGGAATGTGGCTAAGCAGTACAGCGCTTCACTCAGAGCCAGCTTGTCCACAGACCCACAAAAGAGGTGGAGCAAATCCTCTACACTTCGGCCCACCATAGTTACCAGCAATGCCACAGCACTCCACCAGGGTAAGGCACTGTCAGGTGCCTGAAAAGTTCAGAGCACGTTGCAAGATTAAAGGAGTGCAGTGGACACGAAGAAGACAAGCAAATCATGAGGCACTCTCTAAAACAACTGTGATGAGAGAGTCCAAGTTCGAAAGTAAGGCGTGTAACTTCAAAACACTCACGATGGCAAACTTGAAAAATTTGTATGCAGCGCAATATCTGTCACGCATGGCTGGTGTATCGTTTGCTTGTCTGGATCTGCGAAACAAATACTAGAACCCGGTGGTACCCACCAAACACAAAAATTATTACTTGCAACTCCACACTAACAAATACGCATGCACTCAGAGAAAAAAAAGAGCGTCTAAAACACCTCATGTCTAAACATCTTTTATTGCTTGTTTTGAGCACATTTCAGTGCTTACAGCTCTGCCATTAATCTGGTCTTTCAGCAGTCCCTTGTAATTCGCTGAGCGCAACGAATCACTACTCGGCCTACAAGCTCATCGGCATAAACGCTGAACCACCTCAGCCACCAGACCAGAGCCAGCCGTTGTCCCAAGATCCGCGAACAGCTACTCACCCAGGCAAGTAGCCGTGCACGAGACTAGGGCACGACCCAACAAGATGACCTGTGGCTATCGGCCTCTAGAACACTGCATTCCAGCTACCACATTCTGCTCTGCGGGCACCCCTTCTCCAAGATGACTTCACCATGTGCTCTCTTCTCGACTACTTTTTCTTTTTTTCCCGTTCTTGACATTCTTTAATTTATTTTAAGGAGGGACATGCCCTCTGAAAACCGAAAAATGGCGGAAAAGTCAACTTTTTGAAAACCACATATTTGGGTAGTATGTCTCATAAACTATCTGTTCTGTAAATATCAATGTTTAATTCATTGCGAAAGTACGTCAAATAAATTGCGCAACATGCTGCGGCAGCCGACGAGTGGCCCGCCAGCGCTGAAAATACCCCAAATTTGCGCGTTTGCGATTTCTCAACCACGCGGCCTAGCACCGCCATCTTGGTCTTGTTTTGCTCGTGAATTCTTGCTCTTTTTTTTTTTTTCGCCCCCCCGCGGCAGCAGCAGTGGCGTGGCCGAGGCAGGAATTGCTTATTATTGGGGGGCTCCCGAAGTTTCGAAGTCTCCAGCAGCTCCTGGATGTGAAGCCGCGATTGGAGGAAGCGCGCACCTCTCGAGGGAGTGGGCGATCACGCAGCTCCTATTGGCTGCTGCGCGCGATGACGCATTTGTTCCCCTGGCTCGCAGTCTGCTCTGGCGCCGGCCTTACAAATGCTGGTGTTCTCTGGGCGTTTTTTGTGTGTCCCGTTTTCCATCATCCCGCTCGGTTCTCACACGTGCTTTTCAATTCGTCACTGTCTTTACGAGACAATCTTTCGCCGTGTTCACGGGACGTTGATTGTTGTTCTGTCACTAACGATGGGCAGAAAAAAGTTTGGGACTTGGCATGCATTCTGTTCAAGAAGGCGTCCAATGAAGCTCGTACGCATGGTGAGGCGGCTCGTTCACCCGCCAACGCGTGGGCAACAGTCGCATCGATGCTGAGCAGCTTTTAAAGGCGAAGCTCCTTAAAGCAGCACCCGTTCATCTCTCGTAGTAGTGCATAGCATGTCTTACGCTTTGACCTGAAAGGTGGTGCCGGTGGGAGATTTCTCCTGTGCATTGTTAAACAATAAAAAATTTGCAGCGTGCGCGTTAGCTAAAAGCCAAATTCTCCTGTCTCTCATTCCCCATAAGCAGCCATTGGCATGTACATTGAGCACTATCTGACAAGAAAGGGTTGCTACAATATACTCGCTGGGCCTAACCTCCTTGGTTTTAGAAAGGTTTAGTAAGCATTGGGCCGCAGTGCCATGAATACAGTGAACTAGTATATACCATGAACTCGGGGTGGTTAAAGGTGGGAAATAGACACAAAGCGGAAGCCGTAAGAAAGTGTGCATGTGCCACCTCTCGTGTAGTCCTTGGAATGTCCGCTGGATGGCGGTGCTTCTATATGAGGAAGATATGATGAAAAGATGCGAGATGGTAGTACTTAGAGTATTGACTAGATGGACGAACGGACACACAGACAGATGCATGGATGGGCGCACGGATGGCTGCACGGACGGATGGACGCATGGACGGACGCAGGGGCAGATGCATGGATGAACGCAGGAATGGACGCACGGATGGACATGCGGATGCACGAGCAGACATACACACGGAGGGGTGGATGGACGCACGGACTGTCACACAGACGGATGCATGGACGGACGAAAGCAAGAACGAATGGACGGACAGATGCTTCGCCCCACTCTCCAAAATTGGGGATCACATGTTTAAAGGCAAAGATCTTGCAAATGAATTTAGTCGTCATTTTTTACCTGCGGTGCTTGCAACAAAAATGCCAACGACGAAGTCGAAAGGTACATGCCTCGGTGTCTGCAGCAAACAATGTTTCTTTGCCCTACAACTCCTAAGGAAATAAGCGATTTGATACATGAACGTAAAAATAATTGTGCTTGTGGTTTGGATGGTATCAAAGCGGCACTTATTAAGGCCATCTCTGATCTAATTTGTTATGTGCTCTCTCATTTATGTAACTGAATTTTGGAAAGTGGCACATTTCCAGCAAAATGGAAATCGCCAAAGTTAGTGTCTTATACAAAGGAGCGCAGTTAACAATATTACTAATTACAGGCCAATATCTATCCTCCCACTTTTTTCAAAGATCGCTGTAAAAGTAATTAATGCCCAAATAACTATTCACCTAAAAAAATATCAACTGTTATCTCCAAAACAATATGGTTTTCAAAAGGGGGAATCAACAAAATCAGCTTTAGTTAACATTAAAGAAAAAATTGTTTCCAACATGGAAAACCACCTCTATACATTTGGTATTCTTGTTAATTTTAAAAAAGCTTTTGATTCAATCAAGCATCATATTCTTTTCAGAAAGCTCCCATATTACAGAATACGTGGGACGGTGTATAAGCTACTGGAGAGTTATCTCTCAAATAGAGTACAGTTTGTTGTATATAATAACGTACTGTCAGATGCTGGATACCTCGGTCTTGGTGTCCCACAAGGGTCTATATTAGGACCGGTACTATTTCTTCTTTATATTAATGATATTGTCAACATTCCTGAGGCTTCTGAAATTGTGCTATATGCTGACGACACAAATGGGTTTTTCTCTTCAAAAGATCTAACAGTCATCGTACGTTATGCTAATATTTACCTCCAAAATTTATAGCAGTGGTTAAGTGCAAATCAGCTACTTTTAAATACACAAAACACTAAGTGTATTACCTTTTCTGCTATAAATAAACCGGTCCAACGTCAAAATGCCATATCGTTTGAATCAGAAGTGCTACAACAAGTTTCAGAATGTAAGTTCCTTGGTGTCTATTTCCCCGAATGCCTTTGGTGGACGTCTCATGTATATTATGTAAAACGTAGTATAGCCCAAATAATTGGCACCCTAAACAAACTTCGTATGTTGTTACCGAGAACATAAAACGACAACTTTACCATTGTGCTGTTCACACAAGGCTACAGTATTGTATACTAGTTTGGGGCGCTACGCCAAAAACAAACATTTATGTTCCTTATCTAATGCAAAAACGTGGTTTACGATTCATTCACAACTTATCAAGTCGACAACATGTTTCTTCCTATTTTAAATATAGCTACATATTGACTATTAAGGACATATATAATCAACGCCTAGCCGAAACAGCCTTCCTGAACTTGAAATCAGACCCAGTAATATTTTTATCATTACATACTAATGCTGATCCGCTTTATAGTCTCAGACACACTGCATTTAAAAAAATTCAGACTATGACAGGATACGGCATACAACTGCTCCAATGGTAGATACCAACTCTTTTAAATATGTGCCCTTCTCTACTTGATGTGATGCACAGCTGCTCTTCTTTGCTAGCCTTAAGGAAAAATATAAACAGCTTCTATTCGAGCAATAATGTCATGTGGTTTTGTCTCCTCTTTTGTAGTTCTATTATTGTGTGCGAGTGTGTTTTTGTGTTTTTTGTAAAAATGCTTTTGTGTTGAATCTGTAAAAAAAACGTTTTTTTTTTTTTTGGTGTGTAACAAGAGTTATTTTATTACACATATTTATGCTTACAAAGTTTGACTACAGGTTCCAGAAATTAATACAAACTGTGTATGGTTTGCCTGATATTGTTGTATAGCTGAACATAGAAATGTATATGGTTTCGAATTACAGTTTCTAAGCTATTTGCGTTTTGTATTAAACTGCTGCTTGTGTGATTGTGCTGCCTGGGGCTAGGAGCCTAGTCAGGCAACTATGTTGCCTTTTGCCATAGCCCCAGGGCAACCTCTTTTGTTGCCAAAAAAAAATCATTCACCCCGTGGATATGCTGCCATTTTTTTCATCGTCTCTTCAAGACGATGACTGCATTGATGCTTATCGCAACGTCGAGATTGCTACACCATCGGCACAATGCTTTGTGGTCACAAGTGAGGCTGGTGTTGGTGTTTCGTGCTCGAGTGCGCCGGATGCGTTGCGCTCGCTAACTGCAGTGATTGCGGCCTCGAACAGTGCGACTGCGTTTTTGACTGTGCATTTGTCAACACGTTTTTGGATGTGCGAAGAGTTAGCCACGGAGGATAGCAAACATGTTGCTCTGACACGAAAGCTCAGCGCTATGTCGGCAACTGACGGTGCTATGCCGGCAACAAACGGGCAGCGAACAAAGACCTTTTCCGTGTGAAAAAGGCTCAAGAACGACTGCAACACAGGCAGGAAAAGTGGAAAAGGAAAAGAGTCCTAAAGAACATTTCTATCTACTTTGCAAGATCATACGATACCAAAATATGTGTTCGAAACTTTCAAAGTTTGTTTTCTCAGAATGACTTTTTTAGCCAGTGAGGCAGTTTAGTCTGGTGATATCTCTGCAACTGTTCATCTGATTTATATCTGATTTGTTTTACTATGGCCCACACACCGACACAGTTATCTTTTAAAATTTATTGCATCTGTAATTTGT